CAAAGCTTAGACGCCTCGGTGTGTGGTATCTACCTGCACCAGTACCAGACGAAGCCGAAGGCGGAATCGGCATGGGGGGATGCGCAGCTACCAGACGAAGCTCTAAGGTACGGGTATGAAGTAGCGTACGTTCCCTCAGTATCTGTTCGGTGAATGTTCTAAACACCCTAGGTTGCGTGATGTTCGCTGCACTCATCGCGACGTTCATACTCAAACACTTTGCTTCGTCCCAGGTCTGGGGTATTTTGACTGTAAAGTCCAGTAGTGGGAAGCGGGGAGTGAGATCCTGCCTCAGACGTGCGGCTACATTTTGAGCCTCATTAACAAATACCGACTCATACTCATGCTTGATTTGATCATTGATGAGAAGAATATTCGTGAGAGCATTGGGTTGTTGGGTGGAGAAGTCGGAGCGCATGTAGGCTTTGTAGATTTCCACGCGCTCAGGGAAATAGTAAGGGTGGAGCAGGAGGGAAATTGGAGCGGCCATGGTTGCAATAGGTTGTTGTGGGTCGTGCAGTGGTTCAGTACAGCGGTGTCAAGTGCTATTATTGACGAGGCTCTTGGGACGTTGTAAGAGAAGGAAATCGGGATGATATAGGGGGCGACCGCAAACAGACTGAGTCGAAAGTGCTGTCTTGATAATTCTGGAACAACAAACTGACGTTCTGGCACGACCTGGCACAAGACAACTCCTCGTATCAAACATGAGCAAGACAATTGCTACTCAGGCAGAAGGCCAGAGAATGGAGCAGGTGGAAGTAGTGACATACAGCGTGTACCTCAACACATAGAATCCCCCGATGTGATATCAAACCCGAACGCCGCGGCTATGCATCAAAAAGCGCAAACTGATATCCTCTTGACTGTGACACTACCTCCTTCCCTTGCCTTGCCCACCTCCACCACCTCCACCCATACCTGGCATGCCGCCCATACCACCCATCATTTTCATCAAGGCGCCCATATCAGGCATACCTCCCCCTCCCATGCCACCGAGCGCGGATAGATCGGGCATGCCGCCGCCACCGCCTCCTCCACCCATCATCTTCATCATCGCGCCAATATCTGGCATGCCGCCGCCTGCACCACCTGCGCCACCGCCCATACTTTGCATGCGCTTCTGCATAGCCGCGAGTTGCTGCTGCTTGTTGCCTCCGCCCATCGCACCCTGTGCTTTCTGCATGTTCGCCATTCCACCCTTCATCTTCTTCGCCATACCAGCCATCATGCGGTGCTGGGTAAGCAGTTCCTCCACTTCGCGAACCGATGTACCAGAGCCGCGGGCGATACGTGTCATACGTGTGGGTTGATCGACAAACATCTTTCCGTCCGACTCCAGCTCTTTCTCAGTCATACTGTCACAGATGTAGATCATGCGCTTCAGCTTTGTGCCGCCTTCTTCGTCGTCCATGCCGCCCATCATGCTGCTGAGTCCAGGAATCATGCCCGCCATCTTCGACAACGGCCCCATCTTCATGATGTTGGAGAGTTGATCCCGCAGATCCTTGATTGTGAAAATACCCTGGGTGATGTGCTTCATTGTGTCCTTTTGGTCGAGCTTGAGTGATTGTACGTGTTCGACGAGCCCTTGGACGTCTCCCATGCCGAGCAGCTTCGAGACGAAAGCTTGTGGCGCGAAACGCTCGAGGTCCAGCATGTGTTCTCCGTTACCGAGGAAGACGATAGGTGTATGTGTTGCTGCGACGGCGGAAATGGCACCACCTCCTGCTGCCGCACCGTCTGTCTTGGTGATGACAATGGCTCCGAAATCTGCGGCCTCCTTGAAAGCGCGTGCTTGCGACTCCGCAGCCTGTCCGATTGTTCCGTCCAGGACCATGATGGTCTGGTCGGGTGTCACGGCGTTCTGAATTTGCACCATCTCGTCGAAGAGGTCCTTCTCTTGCCTGTGTCGTCCCGAGGTATCCACGATGATGATCTCGAAGCGCTCCTTCTTGAACTTCTCTACACCCTCGCCCGCCACCACTACAGGGTCGGTCTGTGTATGGCTACCGTAGTATGGGATCTTGGCTTTGGTCGCGTTCTGCTTCAATTGGTCGAAGGCACCGGCACGGAAAGTATCGGCGCACACCAGGCAGGCCTTGAAGCCTCTTGCCTGATACCATCTCGCCAGCTTTGTACACGTCGTCGTTTTACCCGCACCCTGGAGACCGACAAACATGATGACGTTGGACTTGCCCTTCTTGGGTTTGAAGGGCTCGGCATGGGGGTCGACCATCTTGACGAGTTCATCGAAGACGGCCTTCTGGATGAGGCGCTTCTTGTTCACGCCCGGCGCAAGGTGCTTGAAGTCGACGGCCTTCTTTATCGATTGGCGCAGGTTCATGACGAGTTTGACGTTGACATCGGCTTCGACGAGGGCGTTGGAGATCTCCTTGACCATGGCTTCGAAGGCCTGCGCATGTTAGCCACCTATCATCAGTCGCCTGCTCGGGGCGCGCACCTTCTCGTCGAGGTTGGGCGACCTCGTGAGGTCGGTGACGGCGGCATTGATGCGCCGCCCGAGATCTTGAAGCACCATAGCGGCGGTTGGTAGGGAGAGATGATGGTAGGGGTAGGGTTGTGGGTGTTCGGTGGTGTGCCTCTCGTGGTGTTCTGTGGGGAATCCACTATGGCGGGGCGCGCTTGCCGTCGGCCATTTGGGCTACTAACGCCGATCGCCTGGAACTTTTTTCTGCGACGCGATTTACCTGCAACATTCACATAACCCGACTTTCACAGCCACAATGGTCAACACATCACTGAAACGGAGACGGACCGAGGAGCAGTTGCGCGGAAAGGTGCCTAAGAAGGAGAAGAGAAAGGTCAAGAAGCAGAAGAACTACCACAGTTCGAGCGAAGAGGAAGGCGGCGCGCGCGATGCTCCATTGCGCGGAAGCAGCCAGGAGCCCGAGGAGCCATTCCAGCCGTCTGGCGTCAATACGACGCTACCTGGAAAGCAAGAGCTCTCGAAGCAGCAGCTGAGAAAACAGGCGAAGTTCGAGGCCAAGAAGGCGGCACAGCAAGCAGCAGCGGCAGAGGAGTCTTCAGCCAGCGACGACGAAGAGGAAATCGAAGCGGCGCCCGCGCAGAAACCTGAGCCCAAGTTCAAGGCCAGCATACCTGCACAGGCCCCGGCCAAGTCGGCACTCAAGAAGACTGCGCCCGTCGACCACGAAGCGCCATTGCCCAGCGACGCCGAAGACGATGTGGAAGAGTTGGACGACTCTGAACCTGAGGCGGATGAGTTCTCTATTGCCGACTCCGAATCAGATGCCTCCGAGACCTCAACCACGGCCGCGCGCAAAGTACGGAAACGGAACGACCCCGAAGCCTTCGCCAACTCCATCTCCAAGATTCTTGGTTCGAAGCTGACGACATCGAAACGCTCCGAGCCAATTCTTTCCCGCAGCAAAGACGCCGCCACCGCCAACCGCGAGCTCGCCGACTCGAAACTTAGCGAGAAGGCGCGACGACAGATCGTTGCTGAGCGGAAGGCGGCGCAAGAAAAGGGCCGCGTGAAGGACGTCCTGGGCCTGAACGACCCCAACGTCAGCACCGCTGCCACATCAGCGAAGGAGAAGGAGCTCAGGCGGACGGCACAGAAGGGTGTCATCAAGCTTTTCAACGCCGTACGAGCGGCGCAGGTCAAGGGTGAACAGGCCGAGAGGGAGAGCAAGGCGGGCATGGTCGTCGGTATGGACAAGAGGGAGGAGAAGGTCAAGGAGATGAGCAAGCAGGGTTTCCTCGACATGATCACCGGAGGACAGAAGAAGGAGGGTAGCGTGGAGGCCTGAGGACGATTCTATATGCACAACTCGGCGTTTGGGACAAAAGAGACATAGTTTGAATATGTTCATGATACCATATACTATACATAAGTTCAGAGTCGTACTCAACGCCAGTTCATCTGCAAGCGGAGTGTTCGTATAATACATGTCGTCTCGAATGCTGTATGCGATATGACCCATAATGCCTTCCAACAGATGTCGTGCAATATCTCCCCCAAGATGTCTTCGCCACGGATAAATCCCCTATCGATGTCACGACTCTTCTCCCAAGTCATTTCATTTGCTGTCGAAATCGCTAGCCTGCAGATTCCTCGTCATGCTCGGCAGTCGCACGACCAGTCCATCGAGCTCCTTGCTCATCTTGACCTGACACCCCAAGCGACTCGTCTCGGTAAGTCCAAACGCCAGATCCAACATGTCGTTCTCGTCATCATCCGGCTCCTCCATCTTGTCGTAGTAGGCTTCGTCTTCTACTATGACGTGACATGTTGAGCATGCGCAAGAGCCACCGCATGCGCCCTCCATTTCTATGTCGTTGGCTTGTGCGATGTCGAGGAGGTTGTCGCCGTCGGCTACTTCGAATGTGGAGGCATGGCCATCCTTGTCTACAAATGTGACTTTGCGTCTAGAAGGTGTCAGTGGTTGAAGTTGCTATGGTTTGGACATGTTTTGACGCACTCTTCACCCGGTCGAGGTGGGTCCAGGTGACCGTGGCGGGATGCGGGCGATGAGGAAAATTGGCGGCGACTCTGAAGCCATGACGGACTTGTTGCTTTGATAATGGTCGATTTTGATAGTGTAGACACTGCGGTTGTCTGTGTCTGAATCGATCTCCGACATGTCGCTGCCGTCCAATTGCTGGCGAACCTCCTCGGACTCGACGATGCGCCTCTTGCGCCCGCTATCCTCCCCTCCAAGGCGTTCACACAAGCTCTTCTAGCAGCCATGATGCCGAATTGATATTCGCTAGCCGGCCGAAATTGCGGTCTAGTAGGAGAAGGAGACACGGAAGCGAAGGGGTTGCAGTGTTTGCCGTGTCACAACGAGTGAATGCGCCGATAATTCCGAATGCTGTGAGACGTCAGAAATGTTGACGCACAGGCCATGCATGACCCCGGTCGATCTACCCAGCGCATCCACCACCGCGGGTAAGAAAACGATAAACATCGCCAGCCTCACGTAATCTTTACCCCAAAAACGACAGATAGAATGGCGACCTCTCGCGATGCCCCGAACCCCCTACGACCCTACTACATCCCGCCCTCTATTGGCCCGCCGCCCGACGTCCCGCAGAACCAGACGTCCTCGTCATTACCGCCCGCTTTCAAGCCCAGCAACAGTAGCAAATCGAGTCTGGGCAGCCAGGCACGCGACATTCTTTCCGACCTAGACTATGACTCGTACTTTCCAGAGGCCTCTCCTACAGTAGCCGGGCATGCGAAGAAACTGCTTGATCATGCTCTGTGGAACTACACGAGCGTCCTGCTCGCCCAACCATTCGAGGTCGCGAAGACGATCTTGCAGATACACGAGGCAAAAGGACAGTTGGCAGGCTTGACGGGTGAGGAGTTCGGCCACAAGAGCAGACCACAGAGCTTTGCGAGCGGAAAGTTTGAGGATGTATGTATTGGGCACTGGAGGGGCTTTTGACATGTGAATGTGGGCTAATCGATGCAGTATCCGCCCTCTGATGAGGAGTCTGACGAGGACTCGCCAGGATACTTCACATCTACTGCCCCGCGCATTATCCCCACGTCGCCGTCCCCATATTCGCCGTCTGTCTCACGATCGGGCGTCTCAGAATCGAGGTCTCCACGACGACGCCAGCGACGCCTCGATAGCCGATCCCGGTCACGAACACCCACACGGCCTCCACCATCCGCCGTACGGAAACTAGATCTCAAGCGTCCAGACTCACTCCTCGAAGTGATAGGACAATTGTGGCAGAAGGAGTCTGCGTGGGGTGTGTGGAAGGGCACCAACTGCACTTTCATCTACAATTTCCTGCTCAAGACGACCGAGGGCTGGTTCAGGAGTCTGATATCAGCTCTGCTGAACATACCAGACCCAGGTCTCGTGGGCTCAGCAGGAAGTGGAATTGGAGGACTGGACATCCTAGACAGCCCAAGCCCACTGACGTCCCTCGGTGTTGCTGTCGCTGCTACAGCCATCGCAGCCACTCTCCTCGCACCCCTCGATATGGTGCGCACACGCCTCATCATCACCCCCATCTCATCCTCTCCACGATCTATATACCCGTGCCTCTCTCTTCTGCCCTCTTTCTCCGTCGCCCCCAGCCTCCTCCCAGCTACCATAATGCACGCCTGCGTCCCCACTCTCATTTCCTCCTCAACACCGCTCTTCCTCCGTTCAACGCTCAGCATCGACCCTATTCTTACACCGACCACCTACTCCTTCAGCACTTTCCTCTCCTCCATATCCGAGCTCTTCATCCGCCTTCCTCTCGAGACCGTCCTTCGCCGCGGCCAGGTCGCCGCACTCCAGGACCACGAAACCCAGCGTCTGGCGTCTGAGTACCAGGCCCCACCCAGCCGTGCTAAGAGCCCGGCGTATGGTCTAGACAAACCAAGCTCTTCTGACCAGAGCTTCAAGACTATCGTGGAGCCGGGTCAGTACAGGGGTGTGCTGGGCACTATGTGGTTCATCGCTCGCGAGGAAGGCATCAGTGTTTCTACACCGAATGCTGCTAAGGCGGCGAGTGCAAAAGCGATGGGTTTCTCTAGGCCGCCGCGTACAAGGAAGGGTCAGGGTATGCATGGGTTGTGGCGTGGATGGAGAGTGGGTGTTTGGGGGCTGGTGGGGATCTGGGGTGCTGCTGCGCTTGGAGGTGGCGGCGGTGAGTTCTAGACTGTGATATTGCAAGTTAAGCACTAGGCCCTTGAGCGATGATTTTACTTGGTAGATTATGTTGTTTTGTCATGATGTTCGTATGCGCTTGTTGGGCGATGCTATTTACACCACTCTTAGCTGATGTTGAACGAATGTTCTCTGTTCACCCAACTTGTTGTTCCAAATATTTCCTAAATTCTTGCATCATGTGATCTAATTCAATAAATCTCCCCGCTATGCTATGGCTGTGTAGCCCTACCAGATTGAGTGGTGTGGTGCTTGTTATTTTTCTAAAAACTAACAACGGTATCTAGAAATGGAAAGTCTGACAGCGCACGGCATGCCAACTCACAAAAGCGGGGCGATTGTACTACGTAAATGTCGCAAACGCAATACAAAGCTGTCAAAGATGCTCTCACAGAAATATGCTATCATGGCTTAGCAGTAAAGCCCAGCACGTAGAGGAGTGTCCCAGATGCCCCGATCAATGGTTTTGCTTGTCTTGACTGGTCTAGCCTAAAGGGGTCTAGCGGTTCCCCTACATGGAAGTACCGTACCACCTCACTTCTTATCAGCCACCACCACGTGTTGATTGTGAGCGTCAGCTTCGGTTGGCGCTTCAACTATGGTTCACCAAAGACATCGAAGCAAGAGAAAATTTCGACACGTAGACTTCCATCGTTCATACACGCATCGAAGCTATCGCAATCATAGCGTATACCAAAGTACCATCTCAATGACCTACCCGAAGGACCAGACCGCAGTCTGAGTCAAAGCGTACTCGGTTCGTCATTTATACATACACGCCTGGGAAAATCTACCAATATGTCAAATCCCTCCTCGCTTTCAATCCACCCAGCCGACAATGATGAACTCTCAACTATGGTCTCACAGGTAAACTTGAGCGGCAATACAGTCAGAGTCGCACATAGCGCTGATGTCACAGAGATAAAGTTTTTGGAAAGAAATCTACCGATTCGCCCCATGAGTATTCAGTCAGCAAGTCGCTTGCTCTCACTGCCCTCATAAATACGCCTGTTGATATGCCATCACATGCATACCTCGCCCGAGCTTGGTATCGAGTTCATTGCGGCATTCTTCAGCCGCAGGCAGCTGCAGAAAAATATGTTGGACGAACTTAATCCTGCCTTCGATCTCGACAACTACGTCAACGAGCATGCAGAACCCTGTCGCCACGAGCCAAGCATGTTTGTCGGTGTGGTACCACCCACGCCTCGATCTCACATCTTACGGCGTGTGACAGTATTTGCACGAGTACTGCGCACGGATCGAGGATCCCGCTGTTGCTATAACTCAGTCGCTGGGCTTTTCCCTCTATATCTGAACGCACTCAATGTGAGACTAGCTCCTCACAACCATGCAGATGACTACGACGAAGAGTTTCTTTACGGCGACATGAAGTCAAGGCCGAATCGCCTTTTTTATGATCATGTAGTGGAAGGCAAAGTGAACTCCGAAAACATGAAGCTCAGCCTTCCTGGTCTACAGAAAGAGGATGATGGAAGAGATAAGACAACGCGCCCCGAAAATATCATCATACCAGGCACAGAAATCTTGTACGGCATGCATATTACGGAGGATAAGGCGGGTGCCCAGACTGAGAGAACATGCGGTTCCGCCCAACGACAGAGGGATCAGGGGGCGCAGTGGCCACGCGCTGAACGGCATGGATTCCAGGAGTTCCATCAATGAGAATATCGGATACAACGAAAGCGAGGCGCTCGCGTTCGGCTCACTACCCGAGCGTGCTGGTCGAACCCGAGGAAAAGAGACCCAGCCAAACGGAGTGTTTCCTTGTGAAATGACATGAACTGGGTTACATGTCACAACTAGCTGTTCCTTGAACAGCCCCACTCCGTTCCCTTCTCTTGCCAGATGAAACGCATTGCAGTGAAATTTCTGCCTTATCGCGTATCTAACGTATCCAATGCTCATGCACCGCAGATTGTGTACCACACCTGGGCAACACAAGGAAACGCTATCCGGACGTTGCAATCAAATTTCCGGCTTGTCACGCCACAAGAGACTTCAAGAGTTCTCACAGAATCTCACAGAATCTCACATAACTTGGCACCTGTCAGCGGGTCTATCGCGGTCACTCTCTGAACGATCTGATATCGTTTGCGCGCAGCTCCCGACGTCCATGTTCTGCTCCACTAGCGGGTCCGACATGGTGGCAACGACGGCGGTCGCGCAAACTTTCCACACGGCATGCTAGGCATCGGCATCGGGTGGAGCTGGTGTTGACAGACAGCGGCCCGTACGTTACGAAGTATAACCACCGGCACTCAACTCCTGGTCCGTGCACGCAACCACCGAATCACAGCCATGGAATTCCTCTTTCTAACACTTTTCTGGACGAAATGGGCGTCGAGTGTTTCTAAACGAAACGGCGCTACGCCTGTCAAGCATTTCACACAGGAGACCAGTGTTTCGCCACATCGCGGACTGCAATGAAGTGTCAGTAAACGACCTTGGCAGGACCCGTAGAAATCACATCCGCATTGACTTTACTTTCCGAACCAGCAGCTTCCGTGCCTCCTTTCAATGAGTCGCATGTTTTCACAAGCGCTGCTATGCTTAGAACGGCCTAAGGATCACGGTCATGTCCACTTCCCAAGCGATCCAGAACACCCACAATCACGGAAGGAAGACTGTAGTTGTCGATGAAACCTGCGTCCTATCTCCTGGAATTGCTACAACGGGAAATTGTCGTCCGTTGGAAACCAGGTCACCGGTGTCTAGGCGCCTGGCTTGCATGAAGATGTTTGGTACAATGCGTGGAGGACTTTTGATATAAGAATCAGGACGACCGTCCAACATCTACAACTCATCAGCAAGCAATACATTCGTTTCAATCGCTTTCTACACTCGCTTTTCAGCACTTTACATTCGTTCCTTCACTTCTTTTTACCAATTACTACACAAGTTTCATTACTGCTAGCCAGAATGAAGTTCTCCGCCTCCGCCATCGTTCTCAGCGCCGTCGCCCAAGTGGCCACCGCCCACTACTTCTTTGACACCAACCTCATCGGTGGTGTTGCCCAGCCGCAATTCAAATACGTCCGCCCTTCTACTCGCAAGGTCGCGTACAACCCCATCAAGTTCTCCTCCAACCCGGCCGCCGACATCCGTGATGGCTCCACCGCCGACGGTCCCGACATCGTCTGCAACCAGGGTGCCGCTAAGACTGGTGGCAAGGTCCAGGTTCTGACCGTCAAGGCCGGCGACGACGTTACTGCCAAGCTCGGTGTTGGTGCCAAGTTCCAGCACCCGGGCCCTGCCCTGGTCTACATGTCCGCTGCTCCCGGCAGCGTCCAGTCTTACGACGGATCTGGCGACTGGTTCAAGATCTTCGATGAGGGTGACTGCGGCAGCGGTGACTTCACCAGCAACTCCTGGTGCACCTACAACAAGGACACTGTCACTGCCACCATCCCCAAGGACACCCCCGACGGCGAGTACCTCGTCCGCTTCGAGCACATTGGTGTTCACCGCTCCCACGTCAACCAGCCCGAGCACTACGTCTCCTGCATGCAGGTCAAGGTTACCGGCGGTGGTAGCGGCAAGCCTGGCCCCATGGTCAAGTTCCCCGGTGCTTACAAGGCCACCGACCCCTACGCCAACTTCAGCATCTACAACGGCCGCAAGGCCTTCCCCATGCCCGGCCCTGCTGTCTGGAAGGGCGGTGCTGCCGCTGGTGGCTCTTCCTCTGCTCCCGCCAAGGAGGAGGTCTCCCCTGCCCCTGCCGCCCCCGCTGCCCCTGCTAAGTCCACCATGGCCACTGTTGTCGCTCCTGCTCCTGCTGCCCCTACCAAGGAGGCTGCCCCCGCTGCTGGCTGCGCTTCCATGTACGGACAGTGCGGTGGCAAGGGCTTCACCGGTGCTAAGTGCTGCGCCAAGGGTAGCTGCAAGGCTGCCAACGACTGGTACTCCCAGTGTGTCTAAGAAGCTAGCTCGTGTGCTAGATTTACTCGGAGATTTGTGTATACTTCCCATTCTTTGTGTCTATAAGCGAGGCGTTGCATTAGTGAGCCTCTGTTTTCTTGGGCACGGGTTCTCTAGTAGAACACCCCTTTAACTTTCTGCTTGCCTGGTTGATGTGGTTCAATCCTATATCATAGCAATATCACATCATTAGTCTTTATTCCAGATTCCCTTTGCCTGTGCATTTTTCGTATGAGAGTGAATAAGAATACTTGAGACAGGTGTACAGGAATGTAAAGGTTCTTCCCATCTCTATAGCCATCTGCCCAAATTATGGGCCTTGATATTCAGCGAAACCTGGAACGATAGAGGCATGTACTAATGACACTATTCAGAACTCGAATGGTTGACCATTAATCGACAAAGGATCCGAGTAGATTTGCATCGATTCCAACTTTTCTTTCCAGTCTGCTTGGTCCTTGGGAAGATCATGCGCATTTTCGATGCGATCTAGTATCTCCTCGTACAGTTCAGCTGGTAGTCGTCGACCAAAAGCCAGGTTGAGATTCCGTCGATGCTCTCGCCGCAAATCGCGCGACACGAGTGGTAATAAGGCATTGATGAGAGGTCCCTGGAAATGGAGGGCATTCATACCTGACAAGGACATATCAAATTAGTTGATGTGATTACGTGTTTAAGTTGATATCTTACCGAATGTTTCACCCGTGATGAAATAGTTTAGATAGAGAAACGCATGGGCACAGTCCAGCGGGCGTTCTGGATACGGCTCGGCTCTGGGCTCCTGGCTCAGTAGAATTTGGAGGAATGCCTCTATTTCATCGACCGGCACGGAGCGCTCGAACAAGTTCAGTCGCGCTATTCCCAAAACGTCCATGCGCAATATAAGAGCAAGTGGAAAGGCTCTGACATTGCCGCGCGGTACCTGGGCCATTCGCTTCAACTCGAGACAAACGCGTGATGTAAAACGCGCTATGGGGATGTCGACGTTTGGGCTGAGTCTGTAACCTGCGAACCATGCGTAGTCGTCGTCGTCAAAATTAGAGTCCAAATCGTCTGAATCACTGACTTCTGATGCTAAGTCCCAGTCATCGCCAAAATAGGTATCGATAACATCCACAGCAGAGCCCAGGTATTCATGACGTCCAGGGGTATCGAGCCTTTTCATGACAGCGATCCAAAACGACGCAGCCATCTTATCTTCGCCTTTGTTTGAGAGATGTTTGTATTGAACAAGGCTGATTCTTACACCGAAACTGGCGAACAGGAGTTGAGATTCCAAGTAAAGAGCCCAGCTTTTGAGTTGGAGTGGGGTCCAGTGAGACACCGGCGCATCTTCTTCTAGTGGGTTTTCTGATCATAGCAATAAGCACATATCCAATATCTTGGTAGGTGAAAGCTTTTCAACATACCTTTGCTTGTCAGAGGCGAATCGGCCTCCCAATACCGCTCTCTGGCAAGATCACGGACTTTGCCGGAGGCTCCTCCTTGGGTCTTGAGATCTGTACAGAGTTGCTCCAGCTCAAGCACGAGATCGTGTGTAATGTATCGCAATCTGACATGGTGAGCACACTTGCGCGCCGTCTTCCACCGATCAAGCAATTGCGATTTGTCACTCGTGTCTCCGAGCTCTTTGCATACCCTCACAAGGTCTTTCAGTGTGCGCGTCTTTCGCGTCTTTGGTGTGTTGCTATGAGAATCGCGTCTTTTGCGTTTGCCGTTGCCTTTGCTAGACAATTCGGCGGTTTGAGCTGAAACAGACGTAGTAGTAGGAATACCACCCACGCTGGCGAGACGTGCCCGATTAGCTTGGATGAGTGCCGATAGTGAAGCGGAAAAAGCCTCGAGTCTCCCGGTGCCCGATGGTACGTTCGTAGATGAGCTGGCTTGCATCGTGATCGCGAAGTGGTATATATATTTAATGAATGTTTCAGGTGTGCTGAGCTGCTCGTGCGGGTCTCAAACGTAAGCTTAGATATGGGAGAAGATAGAGATCAAAACTCGTAAAGAGTAGCCGCAAACATCGTGGATAAGGCCGTCTTATGACTGGAGAGACATGTCGGATACGATTACTGTGCCGCAGTGCTGAATGCATGCTAGGCTACAATAGGCAATCCCTTGTTGCCCAACCCCGGTCCCCGCGGATGTCGACATGCGATTAGGTGGCTACCAATTGAGCTTCATACCACGGCAGACTTCATCTGATGGTGTTTTGATTGTGAAGTGATAACGTGAGGAACCATTACTTAGGGAGGCGCGCCGGAGGATACCTAGGTAGCCTTGCTGGCACGTGCTGGGTGTGACGTCACAACTCCCGAGGTCTAGTCCGTCGAGAACACGCGCCCGCCAACAGCTGGGGCATCCGCATCACTCCGGGTTTGTCGAATGGATTTCCATTCTCATTCAATCTCAAATTTGTTGCACATTACGACCGACAGCAAATGGCCTCATACTCGAGGACTACTAAGATGCGGTAGTGTCGGCGATCGCGAGATCCCACAGCCCATACATTACCGGGAGTGCAGATACCAAAAAGTCAAATCAATACATCAGAAGCAGAGCGTAATTGCTGATCGCACGTATTGCCCCACTGTTGACCCGTTTCGCCTTCTGCTAATGTAAATCTTCTTTTGCCTTCGCTACCTAGGGACGAGGTCGTTTCTCGCCTGTTGTTCAATGCGAAATCAGTGAAAGTCCGGCGTAGTGCGTGGTGCCTGGGTTCTGCCCTAGGCTGCTACACAGCTAGCTAGCCATAAACACTACAGATTCCCCTAAAGAGAACATCGGTGTAACAGCGCAGATAATCTTACTATTCCACCACATAATGTCAACCCATAGTGTGTCCTCAGTGGCTGTCACGGATTCCCCTTTTCACGGTCGCAATGTGTCTCACACCAACACGGACGACGTAAAGGCCGCTTCATTGTTAGGCCTACCAGCTGAGCTACGCCTCAAAATGTACGCCGAGATGTCGCCTCCTCTCAACGGCCATATCGCAGACTACCAATCTTTTTTCCTCTCTTGCAAAAGGCTCAAGGCTGAAGCCGAAATCGAGGTTGTCCGAAACATGCAACACTTCCTCAAAGACGTAAAGAGTACCTGGGACAAGACATATGGCGCACCGCTCCGCATCAATATCCCTATTCAGGTCGATCAGATCACACATGTCGAGATCGGAATCCCGACGTCAATTCTGCAAAAACCGGATACGTTTGCCAGGTTTCCAGCCGCTTTTGCGCTCTTGCCTTCCTTGTATATCGCTCGTCTCACGTTTATATTCTATGACGATAAAGACGGCTGGGAGGACATCACTTCGTTTGCTCATAGAGAACGCGCCCTCGGTTTTTTTCGATTTGAAGATCATTTATCAGATATGGTGACGAGAGACATGAAGCTCTGCCTCGACAACGATACCGAGTCACCCCACGCTTCCGGCAGCAATGTCGATGAAATCAGATTCATCTGGGAAGATTCGCTGAAGTCAGTCACGAGTACTTCTTACTCTGAGAGGGCCAAGGGTCTTGGATATATGGGAGCCTATGAGCTTTGGTACCTAAGGAAATCGACAAGTTCTCGTGGCATCTTTGGTTTTTTCTGGAAAAGGAAGCAGCCTTAAACGTACTATCCAGTATCGCAAGAGGAACTTGGCTGTGTTCGCAGTTCTATGTGTTATCAGCGGTCTACGCACGGACTCGATGTTTAGCACCAGTACATGCTACATCTGACTAGCAGATATAAGACATCAGAAGCTAGTGTCTTGGGGAGTGCTTTCCTGTCTAGAGCCAAATGGAAACATCGTAAGCAAACAACATGAAACACCACAGTATTGTCAATACTACTAGCTTCATTGCAACCATTCAGATTTCGAATACGCGCTGTGTTCTTGGTAGACGTTGGGCATAGAGCAAAGAACTTTGAGTGTATGGAATACAACATCGCGGTATGTTTCAGCTTCAGCTCTTCTCCGGCTTGACCTCCAAAGCATACTTACAGCATCACGCTACGAGCATTAATAGACTAAGTACTCAAGAACAGTATGGACGCGGAAGACCCAAGCGAGCCTGGCGTTAGCAGTCGCTCTGTGCTTGCAATTGATCGACCCACCGAGAAGCTGGACATAGCGGGTCATACTCGACCCCTCGGCAGTGAGTCAGCTATGAAGGATAGCTCACCTGCTACGAAAGGTACGACACAGTCTGCCGGGAACCTCATTAACATCACCGAGCTGTTAAGCCTCTCGTGCTTCCAGACAACCGCCACAGGAAAACCTCACTAGTGAAATCGCCTGACTTGAACGTTGGTAGCGAAGGCCCATGAAGCATACTATACTGAAATGCATGCAACAAACAGAGGCATGTAGCCGAGATAGTGGTCCAGAGCTTTTGGCTTGAATGACATGTGAAAATCAGTCTTGCCGAAACCGTTGATTGATGAAAGCCGTGACCGTCTATGACTGCTCCGCTCATGAGCTCGGGAGTAGCGTATCCGAAGGTAGCGCCGCGGATCTGTAATTGTCAGAGCTCTGGAGCGAATGAACCTTGATTTACCCGGCAATATCTCCAGCTGCAACTGACACAGTAAGCAAGGCGCGCATCGTGATAAGCAGCCAGGTATGGCAGGTCGGTAATAAAGTTGACGGATGTGGGCATGCAAGTCGTGTCGTGCGACATAGCGTGCGCGAATGGCCGCGCGCACGGAAGCGGGGCATCTCCTCCAAGCGACGGCGCTTTCCCGGGTCGATCATCATAAATAGTATATGACGGCCCCCATGTTGACATGGGATGCCGTTCATCACCCCTTGCTTCTGCTTCGATCATACCTACTATGGCAGACTCAAGCCAAGAGGCCGAGCCTCACAGCCTTTTCACCTTTTCACATGTCGCAGCTGCAGCAATCACCTACCTAATCGTCGCAAGTGCTTACCACTTCCTCACAGCGCCATCACCACCATCGAGCATACCATGGATGGGCTACGGCAAAGGCTGGATCGCCGACTTTCGCAACTTTACTGCATTGACAAAGAGCAAAGAATGGCTGTTGGCTGGTTACAATAAATACAGCCGCGACGGCAAGATCTTTGTGTTACCCGCGACGCTTGGCATGCAGGCTGAGATTGTCATGCCTCAAAGTCAAATGCGCTGGATGTTTGACCAACCAGATTCCGTACTGAGTGCGCATCAAGCGCATTACGATTCTCTGCAGGGCGATTATTCGTTCATCAACCCTTACATCTTGAAAGATGCCTACCATGAACATGTCCTTCACAAGAGCCTTTTTCGAAATCTCACTGCGATCATACCGGGTCTCGAAGAAGAGGTGCCACGAACGATTGCCGACGTTTATGGAACAGATACAGAAAACTGGAAAAAGCTGGACGTCCTGGAGTCTTTCATGGAGATGATTCCAGTATTGACCAACCGCATGCTTCTTGGAGAGTCACTGTGTCACGAGAAGAAATTCTTAGAAGCGGTACTGAGCTATACCAAAGACGTCATTCGCAATCAAGCTCTCATGTTTCTTGTCCCAAAAGCGCTGTACCCCATCGTCGGAATGGTGTTAAGTCTGCCTGTCAAGTACCACTACTGGCTGTCTTCCAAGTTTACAATACCCATGATCAAGCAACGTATCTCAGATTTCGAAAAGAAAGATGCCGGAGATCCTGAGTACAAGAGTTGGAAAGAGCCGAATGACTTCATCACATGGAGCTACCGAGTTGCGCAGGCCGAGGGACGACCTGAGGAGATGCAACCCGACCGCATCGCTAAGCGCGTCTTGCCCCTCAACTTCGCCAGCATACACACGACGTCGATTACCGCCTTCGAAACCATTGTCTGCATACTAGGCTGTGAACCAGAAGTTGTCGAACAGTTGCGCGAAGAAGCGCATCGCATCTTCCAAGAGGAGGGAAGTTGGACGAAGAATGCTCTTAGCCGTATGTACCGCATTGATTCCGCTATTCGCGAATCACAGCGTGCCTCGCCTATCGGCCTTACGTTCGTACATCGCAAGGTTGTAGCGAAAGAGGGTGTCATAACACCGGAGGGTGTGCATCTGAAGTGCGGAACGCTTTTTTCATGTCCATGGGGGGCGATGGCCCTCGATACAGACATGACCGAGAACCCAGAAGAGTTCGACGCGTTCCGATACTCGCGGCCGAGAGAAGAATACGAGGCGATGAGCACGGAGGAGAAACAAAACGTTGATGCGCTGAAATTGAAGCAGACGGGCCTTGTCACTACGGGTGTGAATCATCTTCCTTTCGGTCATGGAAGGCATGCTTGGTAAGTACTCTCTACTTTGACTTCAGAATCTTTACTAACAATGATGCAGCCCTGGACGCTTCTTCGTCTCTCATGAACTCAAGATTATCTTCGCCAACTTGCTACTAAACTATGACTTTAAGCCACTTGCGGAGAAGCCCAAGAAGATGTGGGTCATCAGATACAAGGTTCCTCTGCCAGTAACGATCGAAGTGCGTCGTAGGAAGAGTGCATGGGCACCTCAGGCTACCTCATAGGAGTCGCGAGGACTATATAGTAAGGTGCGACGAACTCTTACACACATAACACTGGAACGCTGCTATATAATTGGAGAATTTCGGGTTCGTCGTGTTGTAAATAGTAATTACATGCCCACTGAGGCTAACCACATTCCCAGCTCAACACCCAATTGACCCGGCTGATCATACATGACGAGATGCCCCGCCCCCTCAATCTCCACCACTTCCTTCGTCCCCAGCGCCTCCTCCAGCCTATGCGCATCTTCCACAGGAATCCAGTTATCTTGCTTTCCCCAAATGATCTTTATAGGAAAACTTCGCCTCACCTCTGCATACCGCCCCTCAACCTCCTCCGTGCTCCGATTCGCCGCTTGACACAACTGGCGGACGAAACCTTTCTTTCCACCTTCTGCGAGCCATGGCCCCTTGAGCATGCTCATCGTCTCAGCATCCAATGTAGTATGTGCAGCGTTGCGGATATATGATTCGAGGATACCCTCAAAAGCTAAGTCAGGTAAGTTTTCGAATGCCGCAGGGTTCTCTGCCACGCTTTTGAAGAGGGGTTGGCCGAAGGGGCCGATGGCGACGACGTCGATTAGGCAGAGACTAGAGTAGTGGCAGTCGTGTAGTAAGTTGGCACGCAGGCTCATTAGTCCGCCGTGGTCGTGAGCGACGATTTGTGGAGCTGTCCTCCATGACTCGGTCTTTTCCCAGTGTTTGAAGAGGGCGGCGAAGGCTGAGGTTTGACGAGCGAGATTGCTGTCTAGTCTCTCCACTTCGTTCTTGGGGTTAAAGTCGACATCAGGAAGAAGTTGTTCGATGGGTGAATCGCCGAAGCCAGGGTTATCGAAGAGGTAGACGCGGTATTTGCGTGATAAAGCCAATGCGAAGGGTGCCCAGACGCGGGAAGACCAAGGAGTTCCATGTATGAAAATGATTGGTTGTGATGTTGTAGCGCCCAGCGACGTCCATTTGATATCGAAGGTATGTGTTGAGGATTCGAAGTGAAATGTATTATTAAGGACAGTTGGGTCGCTCGATGACGGCGTCATATTCGTGTTAGCTTTGGAAGCTAGGTATCAGATGAATGTCAACTATGAAATATGGTGCCAGTTGTATGTGGATGCACATACAGGTAGATGGACAGGTTTGTATACCTCCCATATGCATGATATGAAGGCATCGCGACCCATTGTAGATTTGCTTGCTCCTACGATTGACGCTCATTCAAGATGTGCACGTCATGTCACGATTCCTGTGCTGGAAAATATACGCTTATCATACGTCGCTTCCACAGCAAGAACATTGCTATATGTCAGCACTACACCTGCATTCCTGCGTCGTCATGGAAGGCCTGACGGCCGCATGTCTTGAAAGTGACCAATCAGAGTACCTGCGAGCAAACATCGCAGGATATGCCGACAAGGAGCAGATAATTGTAGAATGCGTTTCAAGCGCCGAGGGCGTTTAGCTGTGCTGCTCTTCGCGCAAGATCATCATTGCGCCATTCGGGGTCGGCTTGTTGGTGAGCGGTGAGGCTGCTGATGTTGCGTCTCGATGGTATCTATGCTAGGCACTTGGAGTCGGACGAATTAGCGACGAAGGGGGAATGTGATGCGGAGGGATCTTGCTGCATGCGAAAAGATGTCGCGCCGGTACGCTTGCTGATTCATGACCATTGCATAAAAGTAAGCGACGCGGTGGAAGTGAACGACGTACGATGGAATTCGGTGGGAGAGGGCAATCAGGCTCGAAGCGAGCCACGATCCGTGCCACTGTGGTGCATGCACTGACTTCGGTAATCCCCTATTTACTGTCATTGACAGTCCAATGTACCGTTTCGGTTGGATTGACCTGATCGAAGAAGTTGTAAGCGCTCGGGAAGTTGCTAACTTGTAAGAACTGAATGTGTGCTATGAGGTTGTTTAGCTATGCTGCTACTGCCAGTACTGAGCTCCAAGCTCATCACCGAGCTTCACATCATCGCCCTCAACGACAATCTTCTTGACCACAACTCCTACCACGTCCCATTTGCTGTTCGTCTCAACAGGCAAACCAGAGTCCCTGCGCTTACCAGCAGCATCTTCATTGCCAACCTCGCGCACGACTTCCCAATTATTGTTGCCAATGTCGACAAGCCTGGCGCGTTTGTAGCTCGCGTTGGAGACCTGGCGATGGGCGACGACGAAGCCGGCCTCGTCTTGTTCCTTGATCCACTTCCTGGCCTCCTCATCTTGCCAGACTTTCTGGAGTGCGGCATCGGCATCCTTGAGTAGTCTCACACTCTGCTCGTCCGCCTCGATTGTGCCAGCCTCTGTGCCCTTGTCGAGCGGCTTCTGTAGTAGGTGCGTGCCGCCGAAGCTCTCGACGAAGTTTCCGTTCTCGGCGTTGAAGAAGATGACGTCTTTGTACCTGAGGAAGTCAGTATACAATACACGAGTCGTGTGCATAGACTCTGGCATACCATCGTGTGCCAATGTCGTCGTAGTCGCGGTCTTCGAGGGCTTTGGACGTGTACTTTGACGTTCTCGAGACGAGCTGGCCGCAGGGAACCTTGTCGGCAGGGAGAGGCTGGGGTAGAATGGCGAGCTCGGGGATGATGGAAGGAGACAGTGGGCCGTCAAGGTAGCTGGGTCGGCGAGAGTACTTTGCTGCCATGATGAGGAGCTATAGCTGAAGCTGTAGTAGTGATCTGAAAGTAAGTAAAGTGCAATTGAGCCGTATGATTAGCTGGAAAGTGTCTTCGAAGCAAGCTATGTAGCTGTACCCAGATGCGGAGATGCCCTCGTGAGGGGTCAGCAAGCTTTATGTGATCTCATTGTACCACCGCTCTGGTTGGCAGGAAACCCCGCTCGCCATGACCACGATCTTCTCAGGTCACGCTCATGCTACGCTACCAATTTCTGGTACCTTCGAAATCATCCCAGTGATGATGCGACGCGTACCTGCAGCTGAGTGAGTGGTGTGATGGATCAGGTGGCCATGATGAGGTCGGAGGCATGGCGTGTTGTTGTACCTGACTACTCGCGTCAAAGTGGACCCGGAAGGACGCGGCCGACCATCCCGGGCTATCTTCGTCGCACACGCACGCAGCGACATGTCAAGCATCACTATCATCAACAGAAGATGCATCGAACCAGAAAATCGATGAGAAGAGTTTCCATTTCTTGAGCGGAGCTAGTATTCTTTTTTTTAATCATTATTTACAGCTTTTGGCGACCCCCATGGTGATCAGCCGCGCAGCTCCCCAACCATCATATGGACCCCGGCTTCATCGCCATAGCCTTCACGAATGCCTCCATCATCGGTGGACCTTTCGCGCTGATCCCCTGCTCAATGTCTAGATCGGGATCGGCTTTACCCATTGCGCGTCTATAAGCTTCGCGCTCACCAATGCGACCCAGCCATGCCAAAATGCCCGGGTAGTCGGTCAAGTCCATTGGCTCAAACTTGCGCATCGTTGTGAAGCACCACCCCGTCATGGTCTCGGCAGCAGTGAACTCCTCGCCTGCAAGCCACTTGTTGTTTTGAAGACGGTTGTCGATATGGCTCAGCATCTTATCACAACGTGCGACTTGGCCCTTGTAACGAGGGTCGTCTTCGCCAACCATGCCGCGCGACATACCCCTTCTGAACAGTCCAGACTGCAACGAGCCATTCGCGAAATGAAGCCAGTAGAGGTAGTCTGCGAAGTTCTTGTCTTGCGGCCTTAGGGCCAACCGTCCGTTACCATACTTGTGGATGATGTAATCGGTGATGGCGCCAGATTCGGCAATCTTAACGGGGTTGGATGGATCGGTAAGGTCTTCAAGGACGGGTGAAGCACCTATAGGGTAGACCGCCTGAAGTTCAGGTGGTGACAGAAGAGGCGAGCGTTTGTACAGCTTCAACTCGTAAGGAATGTTGAGCTCCTCGAGGAGCCATGGGATGCGCTCCCCTTGGCCGATTTGGAGGTGGTGGACGATGAGCTTCGGTAATGACATTTTGTGTTGGAAGGTGTAATGACGGCTCGTGTGAAGGAATTGGAGCTCTTCAACTGGTCTTATATTCCGAATATATTCGGTCACTCGGTGATCGACGTATCCGGCAAGGACCTAGGTAGTATGAGTAGCAAGCTCCGCTGACTCTGATTCGGCGACTTGCAGCTCAGATAGTGGAGGCTGTGGGTTGTGAACTCCATTGCGCTTCGCAAACGTCGCAATTTATGTCGGATCGGAATTTAGGCATCCGCAATTTGGGTTGTCGAGACTTACGCCCTGCATCCGCCAAAGTTGTAGGTCGACGGTGTGCTGACAAAATCTCAGTCACGTGTTGCTCGGCCGAACTCCGGAGCACCAACGCTGATTCGCCAGGCACAAACTCGGAGAGATTCATCACACACCAAAGGGGACTTTTCAGATGCATCGCGATGTCAGCACTACAGTTCTAGACATGTGAGGAACCAGTCTTTGTGAATCCCGACGTTCCGTGTCCTGTTTGCTCGATGAAGTTGAACAGGCATCGACTTTTGCGCGACGATCTCAAACATGAAGGCGCCAACAATGTGCCATAAGCAGAGATGTTACGATCTATCTGCACCATCACAACAACACCCCTTCAGGGATGAGCGCGTCATCTGGAACACTCTCCCAATCCTCGCACACCTCCCCCAGCCGATCCCGCAGTGTCCTGTCGACTTTCTTCCGATACAGGCTGACAACACGAACAATCGCATGCTCCTTCTCATAAGCTGTCTTGACATGCGATCCCTTATACCTGAAAGTTTCGAAGATGTCTTGATCCCACTCAGTCTGATCGCGACCAATGCGTGCATAGCTGCCTGTGTATCCGAGGTTGTACTCAATCGCTCCGCATAGCATGTCAATAACTGCTTCAACAAGCTCGGGGTCGGATAGTGTTGCAAGATTACTATCCAAAGCGTCGTCATCACCCATTGCCTCACAACGGCGAAGGTATTCAACGGAGAGCGACTTCCAAACTTCGTGGTCAATACGGTACAACGCCACGACCTGACGGACAGAGTACATGTAGTCTCCGAACGGTCCCTTGCAATCTTGACGATCAGATAACCCGGTTAAGCAGCCCCAGAGTGGGAAGCCGTCCAGCCAGTGCAGCTCGACCAGTCTCTTTACATGGACAAACTTCTTCGCATGTAGGCCGTCATCAGTCTCCTCTTTCTCCTTGTCGAACTCAATGTGCAGTCTTGAAGGTGGAATCTCGACCGCGTTTTCACCCCTAGTGAATGCCTGGTAGAATCGCAGGAATGGGAAGAAGTCCAGGTTCCGGACTGTCCATTTGATCCACAGACCTTCTCTCACCGTGGAGTAGTAGAGGAACAGGGTTTCGGAGAAGATCGCACGATCGACATAGGAAAGCATCGGAAGGTCGTCGACTAGGTTGCCTCTGACATCGATCTCCAGGACACCTTTCTTCATTGTTCTGTTGCCCGACCTGAATATGCCTTGGTCGTGGTTGTTTTGGCCATCTGTCACCCTCTTTGATGGCAAAGTATACATGTCGTGCTCCAGTTTGTACAAGTAGAAGGCTTCGTGGGCGCCAGCTGTAAGTCCGTCCCTCGAACGAGTTGCGAGCTTGACTCGTCTCTCTACAATCTTTTCGAGCGCAACTTTTCGGGCGGCATCTCGCACTCTATGTTCTCTGGTCGGCTTTCGCGCACGGATCTCTTTTACGCGCTTTTGCCGTATGTTGCGGTCTAAGAAACTCTTGCTTCCCATTGATCCCCGATAAACCCGCACTCTTTTCGTCATATCAGGGTTCCTTGTCGTCCTCTCGTTGTCCAGGCAGATGTCGTATATCATGTTGCGAAGCTCACCGGGTAGATCTAAGAATTGGAAGAACGGCTGCCTCTTCCTTCTAAGATTGTAATTCCTGACGGTCATTCCTTGCTTTTGCCGAAACTCCACCAAAACTTGGGACCACAGTAACTTCGCACTGGCTACGTCTGTTCGACGCTGTTCTTAAGTTTCTGTTAATGTAGTCGCGGACCATGGTCTTTTCAACTCCTCGAGCGCAGTAGAGCAGATTGCAACAGCTGGTGTAGACATGGTTTACGAATTGTTGGTTCGTGGTCTACTACATCCAAAACTGCAGGCCTATAAATCGTTCATGCGCTTTGTTTGCTATGCTTCCAGAATGGAATCGCGACGGTTTGCGTAGTTATAGGTCACAACTAGCACATACATGAACATACTGGATACGGCTAAGAAGCGCCAGAAACCTTGTGCTGGAGAGGTGCAAAATAATCGACTAACATGGTGGTCGAATACTACGAGTATGATGAGGATCTAAGCACGTAGCTGAACAAGATATCTTGCGTGCATTATCGTTCGCAGCTGAATTTGACTATAGACGAGTACAATGTGTATTGAAGAGAACGACATGCCGATGCGCTATCAAGAAGAGACTAGGGCTCGTGCGTATGTCAGCTCAAACTGAAAGTTGTAATGCAGCGCGATCTTATTCACCAAAACCTTGATGTCTTCGCAAGAACCACAGGGTTTTCTACTGGCAAATATTTCTACCACTTCTGGCATGCTGTTTACAACGCCACCGTGAATAGGCTTCTTGTCTTTGAACTGATCCAAGCTCAGACTAGCGGTCTCCAGAAAATGATCGACACACAATGCCATCAGCTGTGGTTCGGCATGCTGGAAGTAAGTATGGTCATAGGGTGATTCGAAATATTTGAACATTTTGTAAGCTTCCGCGGCCCAATATGAAGAGTTGATGTAATCTTCGTGACTAAGCTTCCCATTCTTTGCAAGATGATCTTTCAAGTCCATGTACGCGATGGTTGGTCTGCTGTACTCGGGTACCCAAGTCTGATACGCCGGCCTGGATCCATAATGAAACGTCCTTATCAGGTCAATCTGTGTGTCTAACGTTCCATCCTGGAGCTCGACCACGCGAAACTGGAGGCTTTTATCGTTTCTTCGTCGAGATAATGCAGATATCTGGGGTTTTGCTATATCCAAGTCTGTCTTGACCTTCGATAGCTCCGCTGTTTGCGTTTCGAACTTCTCGCTGACGTCGACCAGCTGGGCTTTGGTTGTCTCAAGCTCTGCTGTTAGCGATTGGACGCGCTCTTCGGGATTTCTTCTGTTGACTCCTGTGGCCGTTGAAACGGTGTTTGGCGTTGTGACAATACGTTTAACGCGTCTCCGTCCAAGCGTAGGCTTAGTGACCGATTCGGTATTCGGCTTGTAGCTTTCGGCCTCACGCCGCAACTTTTCGATCTCGTCTTTCGCTTGATGAAGCTCGTCTTCGACTCGTTGCAGTTCTTCTTGCGTTTGGGCGAGTTGAGACTTGGGGGTGATACTGTCTGCCCCTCCCTCGTGTGAATCCACTCGCGAAAGCTGAGCAAACTTAGTGGACGCGAGATCGTCTGAGCAATCGTCCTTGGCGTGTTTATCGAGAGAAGTATCATCCGCGAATTTGCTTTCAGGCGCCTTACTCAGTACAGAACCAGGTGCCTCATCGGTTGAGGTGATTACACCAAGCCTTGAGAGTCTCGCGATGATGTGGTCTAATTCTGTCATGGTAGTTGTTGGGTATCGTAGTATTGGTGTTTTGAGATAAATGAGTATGTATTCTGAACTGCTTCTGAGGAAGAGGGGAAGATGAACGGACATAAAAGGGATTTTGCCTTCAGCCTCGTGCATTTCCCCTCAGCTGAGGCCTCCCCTTACCAATGCACCCATATGCATGAGCTGGCCCACGTGTCATTACGCCTGTGGTATACGCCTCTCATTTCGAGGTAGAGTGACACAGCATGAGCTTCTGTCATCTCAGTACCTATAGAGGTAGAGTGGCTGCCCAATTTTGACCAGTGGCTGCGCATGCTCGTTCGCTGACACGCGTCTGCCGATGCAGCTCGAGAACCGGTCAGCGCCTTTGTAACCAATCAACGCCCTAGCATCTTAGCGGGGTGCTGTCGAAATACACGGATGGTGGAAGCGCGATGGTAAGGTGGTGAAGGTCGGCCCATCCATAGATAGCGCCGGAGTGGCGATGGCCCCACCAACGCCTCGCTTCAATCGCGCTTCAACCGCTGCAGGGAAGCAACGACCTCTTGCATCACAAACCCCACAACATGGCGCGAGGCAAACTCATAGTGTTCGAGGGCCTGGATCGCGCAGGCAAATCAACGCAGTGTCAAATGCTGGTTGAAGATCTGCAAAACGATGGGATCAAGGTGCGGCATATGCGGTTCCCTGGTACGTGCGCGTAGATAGAGAGCCATTCGCTGGCGCGTGGATGCACGTTGAATCAAACTAAGTTGGAGACTGACAAAGGGTATAGATAGGACGACACCGATTGGTCAAATGATCAACAGCTACCTGAGTGGTCAGAGCGATCAAGACGACCATGTCATACATCTCTTGTTCTCTGCGAACCGGTGGGAAGCAGTGTAAGCCAAACACACCCATCCACATCTAAACACAAAAATCTCAACGTATACTCCAGACCATCTATCCAAGCCGATCTCGCAGCCGGTACAACAATAATCGTAGACCGCTACTACTACAGCGGCTGCGTATACTCTGCTGCCAAGCAAAACCCCAGCATGAGCCTCGAATGGTGCCGGAAACCTGAAGTCGGGCTTCCACGTCCTGACTTGTGTCTCTTCCTTGACATCTCCGCTGACGACGCTGCGAAACGAGGCGGCTACGGTACCGAGAAGTATGAGAGGAAGGAGATGCAGGATCGAGTGCGCGAGCTGTTCGAGACGATGATGCAGAAGAAGGAGGGCGAGGACTTTGTGCGCATCGATGCGGGTGAGAGTATGACGGATGTGGCGGCGAAGATTAGACAGGAGGTTGATCGGTGTATTGAGCGGGTTGCGAAGAGTCAGCTGCCGCTAGGAACGGTGGAAGGGTGGTAGATGTTCTCATCTGAGATTGAAGCAGGATCACTTGTCCTCGTCGTCGTTCACATTCTCCGCCCATGTCTCATCGAGATCTTCGTCCAGGTCAACCTCTAGCTCATCAATGTCTGGAAACTCTTCCGCATCCTCTTCGACTGTTCCATCCGACTTCTTCTTCCGCTTCGTCTTGAACATTACTTTCAGCTCTTCTTCGCCATACATGCGTAGACTGAGCTCTTTCATCAGGTCTAACCATCTTAGCGAAGTTTGGCAGCTCGGACATGACCCTTGGATTGGAATCAGCGCATCTGCATTGCTTTCCTCTGCGAGGAATTCCTGTGACATGCAGGCCATATGCGATACTGCGCGACACGTGTCTACCGGGCAGACTAGCACAAGCGCTTCCTCAGCACTCATGCCTGATCTGCAAACAACACAGGTTCGTTGTTGGCCGTCTCCAAGAATGTTCTTCGACTTCTCGACATGTGTCTTGCAATCCTCGTATGCAACGGGGATTGCTCGTATTATTTCTGGAATGAAGTGCGTGCGCATCTCGCTCTGCACATCCGGTGCAAGTTTGGGCAGCTCAGCCGGCGTCACTCGGATGGTGATGTCCTTTCGCAACTTCGTCTTCATTTTAGAGATATGTTTCTCCCATTGCGCGAACACGTCCTGGGCGAAGAAACGGATGTTCAGCGGCCATCGGCTGAAACTCCCGACGCCCAACAGATGATGTAGATTCTTCAGTCGCGCTTCCAGTGACATTGGTGGTCGCGGTCTTTTGACTGGTGATGGGTTCTTTCTGCCTTTTTGAAGCTCCTCCAGCCTCGCGTCGCGCACTTCACGCTCTATGTGCCGGGTGGCGTGCGTGTTTTGCCACGCCCATTCGAACTGCAACGCGGCGGCTCTGGAGGGGAAGCCAGTAACGATGCACGTCATCTCCCACGGCCGCTTCCCCTGCATTGATGTACGCTTCGCGCCGCCCTTGCTTGAGCCATTGTGCTGACCCAGACGACGCGCCGGATTGGGGGTGCTGCCGATGTAGAAGGCTTTTCGGTTTTTGGAGCGGAGCAGGTAACAACAGTAGAAGGCTGGGATGGGCCGGCTTTCGATTTTGACAGAGTCGGCCATGATTGAGTTCATGACAAAGATGAAGTCGCGATGTCCTTGTTGATCGCATCCAAAAGCGTGCAGCAGCCAGTTAGGGCTGACGGGATGGTGCAGATGGAGTGTGTCGTGATTGGTTGGCTGGAGTGCCTCCCGATGAGACAACCTTGCTACCGACCTCACCTGCAGCAGTTCAGGCGTCGAGATGAATTTAACTCAGAGATGGAAAGACCGCGACAGTATGATATGAATGCGCAATGCTGCTACTGTTACGCTTGTTGTTTCGAGATGCAGTATGGTGGTGCAAACAAGTGGCGAAGATGGCCGTGCATGTGTTCACAATGGAAAGTAAGAAGAAGTAAGTCGCAATGGAGAGCATCTGAGTCAGATCAATATGTGCTTGTTCTGGGAGCCAATGTAGTTCGCTGGTCGTCATCATGGTAGAATGCGGCGCAAAAGAAAGGCCGAGGAGGTGAGGTCGGCAGCCTTGCGTGCAGTCGCCAGATCGGCACGACGTAGCTCTCATACTTCACCACACGACTGCACTCCAAGGTGGCATCTCGATGCCGCATCAATGCGATACAATGTATTGACTTGAAATGCTCTATATTTCTCCATCGATGTGACGCACAGAGTTGAAGCGTCGTGCATAATATTAGCCGTGCCCTGCTGCACCAAGCTTCGATGTTCTGGGTTCGGTACCAGGTTGGGCGGGCGTGATATGCATCCGCCGTTAGCGGGAATCTCGCACCCTTCAGCGGACCCATCCATCCTCTCCATATCTCCTCCACCTCGCCTCGCCAACCTCGCTGTGCACGTGCTGCCACAACCACGACGGTCGCTAACAGACAAGCCTCTAGTCGCACTGGCATTCGCCTCTGTTACGAGTGAATTGCACAGTCCAAGCGGCCGAAAGCGGTCGCCTGCCGCTGTAGAGGCCCCATGCCTATGCCTATATCTCTTCGATAGCGCCCACCACCGACCGAATCACGCCCGACGACAATCGCTATACCTTCCATACCATCTCGTATCTCGTTACGAGGCTGCAATTAGGGCTGCACGCAGCGACAGCGCTTGATGCATGAGCACGAAGACTATGGTCGATTTCATGCCCCCCGGCGGGCCCCCAACGGGCGCCACTATGACTACCTTTCGAGTTGCCACGGACAGTGGAACGCCTGACGCAGCAACTGGCGCATCAAAATCTAGAATGGGTGGTGCTGCGGTGCCCGCAACGAATGGTGCGCAACCGAGTGCGGCCAGCACGATTCCTCTGAGCGCGCGCAAGGCAGCGCCGCTGGATCTCGCTACCGTGGAGCGCAGAGGACATGGAGCGCCAAACCACCTGCCCCCCAAACAGAATCGTCTTTTTGGCCTGCGCGAATCTCCCACATATCGACCGACAGCCGAGCAGTTCAAGGACCCGGTGGCATACATCCAAAGCATTCGCGAAGAAGGGCAAAAGTACGGCATCGTCAAGATTGTCCCACCAGACAGCTGGAAGCCACCATTCGCTATCGATACTGAGCGCTTCCACTTCCGCACGCGGCGACAGGAACTCAACTCGGTCGAAGGTGGCACGCGTGCCAACTTGAACTATCTCGATCAGCTCGCCAAATTCCACAAGCAACATGGCCACAGTCTCACTCGATTTCCGAGCGTGGACAAACGCCCTTTGGATCTCTACAAGCTCAAGAAGGCCGTTGAGAAGAGAGGTGGATTCGAACGTGTTTGCAAGCAGAAGAAGTGGGCTGAAATCGGACGCGACCTTGGCTACAGCGGCAAGATAATGTCTTCACTGTCGACATCGCTTAAAAACTCGTATCAGAAATGGCTACACCCATACGAGGAGTATCTGCGACTCGTCAAGCCTGGTGTGCAGCAGATGCTGGAGTACGAGCATGGCGGACCCTTCACGCCGTCACCAGCCCATTCGCCCATAAAGAAATCGCTGCAGGGTACGCCTGTCGCCAACGCTGCCGAGTCACCGGCTATGCGAGCCTCAGCAGCGCTGAACGCAACACTGCAGGGTGACTCTGTGCCAACTCCACCACCAGAGCTCTCACGACCTGCCATGCAGGGGGGCTTCACGCCGGTGAACTCGGGAGGCTTCACAGCGGTCAATGCGAACTCAGCACAAAAGCCGTCTACGCAACCCTCTACACCTAGTGCTTTTACTGCGGCCAACCCACCGAGCGCTTTACATCGAGATGTGCTGGAATCGCGCACGTCAACACCTTTGCGCAATGCTGGCAGTCCCATGCTCTCAGCTGACAACACCCCGGACTTGAGACCGCCTGGAGCCGGCTTGACCCCGCTAGCCAATGGGCAGCATTTCAACCAACTGAAGCGAACCTTCTCTCAGGATCCGGAGAGTAGTGCAAATGACGATGTGGATGAGGCAAACGGTCGGCGTAGCAAGCGACTCAAAAAGGATGCTCCTCCTACCGTTGCGGGTTCACACATGACTCAGCCTCGCCAATCGACCCCCAGTCGAACTTTCCCACGCGTTCGATCGGCCGACGACAGACCTGGCGACCGATGCGAGACTTGCGGTACCGACAACGACCCTCAGAATATCCTACTTTGCGACAGCTGCGACGCTGGTTACCATGGTTCTTGCTTGGACCCACCCATCAAGGCTATCCCTGCATACGACTGGCACTGCCCTAGATGTCTCGTAGGCACAGGCGAGTTTGGATTTGAAGAAGGGGGCATTTACTCGCTCAAGCAGTTCCAGGAACGAGCCCAGCTATTCAAGCAGAATCACTTCGTCGGCAAGACGGCCTTTGATCCGGTCACCAATTTGCCAAAACCAGTTACTGAAGATGATGTAGAACGTGAGTTCTGGCATTCTGTTGCGAACGTTACGGAGACAGTCGAAGTAGAGTATGGAGCAGACATACATTCCACGACACACGGAAGTGGCTTCCCAACTATAGAGAAGAACCCGCGCGACCCCTACTCGACCGATCCATGGAACTTGACTGTTCTGCCCTATGCGCCAGATTCGCTTTTCCGCCATATCAAGTCCGATATCTCAGGTATGACCGTACCCTGGTTATACGTGGGCATGGTGTTCTCGACCTTTTGCTGGCATGCGGAGGATCACTACACGTACTCAGCAAATTATCAACACTTTGGCGCTACCAAGACATGGTACGGCGTACCAGCTGAAGACACCGAGAAGTTTGAGCAAGCCATGCGTGAGGCAGTACCAGAACTGTTTGAGAGCCAGCCAGATCTCTTGTTCCAGCTCGTGACGCTGTTGACTCCCGAGCAACTCTTGAAGGCTGGTGTTAGAGTCTATGCGATCGACCAACGTGCTGGCGAGTTTGTGATAACCTTCCCAGAAGCCTACCATGCCGGGTTCAATCATGGCTTCAATCTAAATGAAGCGGTAAACTTCGCGCCGAGCGACTGGGAGCCGTTTGGAGAGCACGGAGTTCAACGCCTTCAGGATTACCGCCGTCAACCGTGCTTCTCTCACGACGAGCTACTATTGGCAGCAGCATCACGCAAGGACACAACCATCAAGACTGCCAAGTGGCTTGCTCCTGCGATGGAGCGAATGCTTGCCAGAGAGTCACGGATACGCGATGAATTCCTGGACAAACACAAAGCTGCGAGAGCACATACTTGCAAAGTTGACGGTACTGGCAATGCCGGGGACTCCTGCGAACTCGACTTTATCATCGATGATGCCGACATGCATGAGGATGAATTGATTTGCGCCTTCTGCAAATCATACGGCTATCTGTCTCGGTTCTACTGCAAGAAGACCAAGAAGGTCTTGTGTCTACAGCATGCTGGATGGTTTGAATGTTGTCAAGACTCCCCGGAAGCTGAGCGTTACTCCGGAGCCAAGCTCCAACACAAGCTCGTATACCGCATGCAGGAGGACGATCTTGATGCGCTGGTACAAAAGATTGTCGACAAAGCAAGCACACCCGAAGTCTGGGAGGCAAAGATGGAGGCTTTGCTTTCCGAGGGGCCTCGACCTCAATTGAAGTCCCTACGTGCGCTCCTGCATGAAGGCGAGAAGATCGACTGGGACTTGAACGGTCTCCAGGATCTGAAAGATTTCGTCGAGAAATGCCAGGAAGTTGCTGATGAAGCTACCTCTTACACCACTCGGAAGCAACAAGCCCGTCGCAAAGCGGAGCGCCCTGGAAGAGGACGGCCAAGCAAGTCGGCTGTTGCCGAGGCAGACGAAAAAGATCGCGAATATCGCAATGTGGAGAACATACAAAAGCTACTCAATCAGGCAAAAGATCTAGGGTTCGATAGCCCGGAAATAACTACGCTCCGAGAACGCGCTGAAAGCATTGTCGAATTCCAGACCAGAGCACGCACCGCTTTACGCGAGCGCACTTCCGAGCAAAGTATTGCACGGCTAGACGAACTCCTGGAAGAAGGCAAGGGTTTCAACGTCGATCTACCCGAGCTTGAATCTCTCGAAAAGGTCGTACAGCAGTTGAAGTGGCTCCAAGAGGCACAGGACTTCAAGGTAAAGCCTGCGCCGACGCTCCAAGAAGTTGGCGAACTCATCAAGAACGGCATTGAAGTTGGCATGCCAGAGCATCATCCTGACCTTCGCTTCTTGCAAGAGAAGAAAGACCAAGGTGAGTTCTGGGAGAAGAAGGCGAAGGAGCTCATGGAAGTGGAGAACGTGCATTATCAGCAACTCGACGCCTTCTCCAAGCAAGCGACCAATCTGCCGGTAACACCAGAAACCCGAGCCGCGATGGACGCCATATTGAAGAAGCAACGAGATGCACAAGAGCTGATTATGTCTCTGTACGAGCGAAGCAAGAATCAGGACTTCTCACAACGGCCAAAATACATGGAGGTCCGCAACGCCATGGAGTCTTTGAATGCGCTGAATGGAAAGCCCAATGGCACGAACGACCTTGAGAAGGAGCAGAAGCGACATGAAGATTGGATGAGGCGAGGAAAGAAGCTCTTTGGCAAAGCCAACGCGCCCTTGCATATCCTACACGCGCACATGAAACAAGTCGATGAGCGTAATCGATCCTGCTTCGATTTGGGAGACCAGCCTCGAATGCCTGTAGAGCCCGCGTCCCGTGAACAGAGCCCGGCCGACGGTGAAGAGGAGGACGGCCCCTTATCCAGTCGAGACGTATTCTGTATCTGTCGGAAACCAGAAGCTGGTATGATGATTGAGTGTGAATTGTGTCACGAATGGTAAGATGACTTGTTCTACATCAAAAATCTATCCACTAACAATGATAGGTATCACGGCAAGTGCCTGAAGATCGCCCGCGGAAAAGTCAAAGAGGACGACAAGTACACATGCCCTATCTGCGATTATCGTGTCAAGATTCCTCGCGATGCGACTCGCCCAAAACTTGAGGATCTCCAGCTTTGGCAGGACGAAGTCCCCGGTCTGCCATTCCAACCTGAGGAAGAGGAAACACTGGACTCGCTGATCGAGCACGGTACCAGGTTCCGAGAGTACGTCGCGCGATACATCAACCCATTGATGTCAAGCCCTGATGAACTTACTACCCAACGATTCTACCTACGGAAACTTGAGGGTGCTGAGATTCTTCTCTCGAACGAGATTAACTTCTTCCGCCAAGAACTACACAAATGGGCACCAGTGGCCCCAACACCGCCGCCTATCCTACAAGTGTCTCTTTCTACACGTAAGCCGCGGCCGACGAAGCAGCAGAAGCTCATGAGCCAGTTGGGCATTACCAATCCGGACGACCTCCCGCAGCACCTCAAAACCAAAACCCATCAATTCAAGCGCAAGGATGGAGAGAAGCCACCGAGCAACCCGTCGGGCGCCGCTGAGCAGTCGCATACTCCTCCTGGTGAGCCTCGTCAAGGTCAACCTGAGGGTGAAAGCAGCGAGTACTTCAACACTACCACCACGTCTACATTCAACAACTCGCCCACATTTGCTACGAGTGCTCCACTGAATTTCAGCGGCTCTTCATCGATTGCGCCTCTTGACCCAGGTCTCTTTGAGAGTTCAGGGCCCGCAGCCCCTACCAGTCCAATGCAAGACCCCTTCAAGAGCTCAAATAGTGGACATGAGATGTTTGGCGAAGCGATGGAAATGGGTGGCGGTCAGGCAGAAGAGGCACTGGCTGTCACCGAAGGCAACAACTACATGGACTAGAAGTCTGACGGCTACACGCCACGGACGCCAGAATAATGGTGCATAATTTCTCATGAGCATCCTAGGGGCGTACGGCAAGGATCGTTGTACAACACGGTTCATTTTTGTTTGAGTCTGGTTTCTACGACTGTTGTTTTTAGAATTGTCTTTTACTTCATCATGTCCGATGGTGGACGTGCGGTAGTTGTGCCGCAACTACTGCAGCGTTCGTTATACGTGTTACTTCAGCGCTGCTTATTGCATCAGAGGGGTGTTAGGGAGCACGACAGGGCTACTGGCCGACATACCCAGAACAGGCGTAAAGAGACTCGGGTACTAAATCCATGTTCGACAATGAACTCATAATGCAATAATCTGACCATTGACAATTTGCTGATGTGTGATGTGATGATGGCTGTCGGTGGGTTGTGGGCATGATGATGCGGGGATCTCGGAGGTTTGCTTGGAATGCGCTACTGGGGCGTCCGTGCACTCGACTTTTCTAAGCCGATGCTGGTCATCGAAGACGGCGGACGACACATCGCAATGCTTCCAAGTAGAGGGCTGCGGCCGGCCCACCTTGCGCCTTTGGCCTCACGACAGTCGACAGTCTTACGGACCAATGCTACAAGGAAGGTGCGCATCTGCGAATTCCACTGCCCGCTTCGTTCAATTCACACACCCGCGTTCTCGTGTCCAAGTCGCCCAGTACCTTCTCTATGACCATCCTTCTGCACAACAGCAAATCAGAGCCGACTTGTTGTAATTGCTAATTGTGGTAGTTTTCGTCCCTTCCCCGAACTGCGAACCTCACCGGCCCATCATGTCGAACGAGCCCGCTCCAGTCAGCGCTGTGGAAGTCTGGCGCGAACCGAACTCATAATGTCATGACGAGTGCGTCGTCTGTTCGAAATGCCTCATGGTATGCTCCTTGGAGCTGGGGGAAGTCTAGTGGTCCCGTCGATGCCAGCTCTCTCACACCGGCCGACCGCGTTCCCATCGCCGAATTCTCGCACCGTCCCGTCTCCGAGTTTGCGCAACAACACGCACAGCCTGTCGTCACCACGTCTACGCCCGAGCTCGCTCCTGCAGCTATCGACAAGCCCGCCGTCGTGGATGGAGCAGTCGCGCCTGCCAAGGCGGCAGTAGACAGCGCGCCTACCTTGACGGAACCCAAGACACTCGACACTCTCTTCGATGCTGAGCCTGTCAAGGACACTCTCCCCACAGCCGAGATTGACCCCACTCGTCTCATCGATCATTCTGGACAATTGCAGGAATTGGGTCTCGACTACGGCTGGGGTATGACGACTCTGTTCGAGAAGTGCATCGAAACCATCTACCTACAATCAGGCATGGGCTGGGCTGGCTCTATCATTGCTGCCGGTGTCGTTGTCCGTTGCACGACCTTTGTGCTCCAGGCAGCGAGCTCAGACAAGATGGCAGTCATGTCTTCACTGGCACCCGTTACCAAGCCTATACAAGAGAAGATGGAGGCTGCCCTTGCCCGAGGTGACAAGCAACAGGCCGATCTATACAAGATGCAGCAGGCCGCAATCATGAAGCCCTACGTAGGAGGTATGCTTGCCACTGGAGGTTTCATGATCGCGCAAGCCTGGATTGGATTTTCCGCCTTCAGATTCCTAAGGGCTATGGCTGACCTGCCCGTCCCCGGCATGGCGCATGATGGCTTTCTGTGGTTCACCGATCTGAGCAACCGCGACCCTTACTTCATCTTACCGGCTGCAACTTCAGCCATCATGTATACTGTTTTCAAGGCAAGTCTATACTCTTGAACGATGCTCCCACCTTACTGACACACTGAATAGACCGGAGGTGAAACTGGTGTGCAGCCCGATACAGCCCAGGCAGTTACACGTCAAAAGATTTTCACTGGTTTATCCGTCTTCCTCGGTGTTGCCACCGCTTTCCAGGCCTCTGCTCTCCAACTCTACTTCCTGATGACCGGTATTATGGGCGGTTTAACTGGTTGGTTGCTTCGCCAGAATGGTTTCAGAAAATTCATTGGTATTCGACCGCTACCCAGCAAAGAGAGCAACGAGCTTTACAGCAAAGTCGTCAAGGGAGAGGCGAAGTTGAGTCAAGTCAAGGGAGCCGATGGCAGGGCTCGTTACCAGCCACCCACCCGCAAAGCAGCCCCGATGAACCGTCGCCAGTTGTCCGGCATCAACATCAAATCCGGAGTTGCCCTACCTGCGCATCTCAAGACGGAGGTACCCAAGACGATCGACACGGAATATCCTGACCGGGACATCGATTTCGAGGAAGGTGCCAAAGGCAAGCCAATCAGCGAGAAGCTGGACTACTACCGCAGAAACTACCGCCTTGCCTACATCTGGAGGCGGACGGGCAACGGCGTGGATCGCTTCATGAGGTCTATGGGCTTTGGAGACAAGAAGATGTCACCCGAGGAGGCCAGGAGGAAGAAGAGGGCTGATGATTACGAGATTGAGAGGAGACGCAGGTTCCAAAATAGGCAATAGAGACGTGTCGGAGATGTGGACGGCCATGTATGATATACGCGTGTTGGACCTTGTGTTAGTAGTACGTGCATCTCCAAAAGGATTGGGAGTTGTTTGATACGCATAGCGAGAGATTTTGTATAAATACTAAGAGACGCATATGCTCCTGATTCAACCTTGGACGTATGAGTGTTTACGGTTTTGTATGCATCGAAAGCTCGTTCGCGATTCCAACTCTCGTTCGTAACCATGCTTGAAAGGAAGACAGCTCGAATTTGATCCAATCGATTCCAAGATGAAGCGTGATGCCTCTGAACGCCATGCCATTGATTGCACTCGTATATACAGATACGTCTCCAGGCTCTCCACCTCCCCTTGCACTACCCATCTACTCCAGCGACGTGTACATATCCAACTCCTGTCCATTCCTCCTCCTCCGCTCCACAGGATCCGCTCGCATCTCCACGCCTGGTCCCACGCGTCTGGAATCGGCTCCGGAGCGATGAGTCGGGAATATCTGGTAGCACATATTGATCAGCATTGCTCTCTAACTCCAAACTTCCGCTATAAATCCTTTCCTTAGCTTTCTTCAGACATTGACATACCTTAGTACCACTCCACCCCAACCGATACGCCGCCTCATTCGCGACCAACTCGCCAAAACCCAACATGAGCCCGTTGACAAACGGCAAGAAGAGGTTTATCGCTGCGCCACGGAGTAGTCCCCATATTGTGGGTGGCTTGTAGAGGATCAGGGGTGTGGAACTTGAGGATGCGGATTCGGGGGAGGAGGTGAGCTCGTTGTTTGCGTCGTAGTTTTCGCTGTCCGAGGGGATGGTTATGCCGGATTCGGTGAGGTTGGTGGCGTCGGCCATTGTGGGTGAGGTGATTGGGGTGAGATTGGGTGGTGGGTGGTGGGAGGTAGGCTGGTGGTGGATGCTGGATGCTGGATGCTGGATGCTGGATGGGTGCTAGAGCCCCACGCGGAGGTGATGCGGAGGATAGCGTAAAGCTGGCTTGGTCGGGTGGAGGGTAATTTGTACGATCAGACCTGCTCGATTGGTTTGGTGGGATGAGTATTACGCACGCTAGACTCTGCTGACGCGCGTGGGTGGTAGTGCGCGACAGTCCCGAGGTCGCTGCTCGAGGTGTTGATGAGGCTCACATTAATTCCGGCCTTGGCATTATCTCGGAACTTTGATGCACATCGGAAGGTGCTGCATGTCAAGGTCTAAACGACTTATTGGCAGACATATCTTTAGAGTCTAAGAGAATCACGGAAGTCTTATGACCAACTTATCTAGTTGTTGATTAACAAGGTAACTCGCATCGACTGTGTTTGTGATTCGCGGTGAATGTCGAGAGCGAGCAAGCGACGTCACCAGCTACCGCCTGCGGTAGGTACCTAAAAGCCCGCCCTGAGTTTACTGTACATAGACCCCACCGCAGTCAACCAACGCGTCCAAGCCACCAACCACGCCACCACCCTCATCTTCAACAGCAGCATTACTACGCTGTTATGTCTGAAGCTGCCCCCGACCAAGACGCTCTCATTGCTCAGCTTGCTAGCCTGACTGGCCTCGATCCCGCAACAGTATGTTGATGGAAGCTCATCGAAGCTATTGGAGCTGTTCACTCACACAAAGGACAGGCAGAACGCTACTTGAACGCCTCCAACGGAGACCTCACCCTCGCTGCATCTCTCTTCTTCGACGAGTCGGCCGAACAACAAGACGACACTTCCGAACCAGACGTTGACATGGCTGGTGACGAGACAAACACAGACGCTCCCAGTGTGCCCCAAGGAGCTGGTGGAGGACGCACTCTCGGGGGCGCATATGTACCCTCACCTGCACCCGAAGCATCTCGATCATCGTCTCAGCCTGCCGCTGCTCGCGGACAGCCTGCCCAGAGGGGCGTAGCAGGTGCGCGGACGCTGAGGGACCTGCAGTCATCAGGTGGCGGACACGGACACGCCCATGATGACGACGATGACGACGAGAACCCTGATGATGAGAACCAGGACTTCTTCGCCGGTGGTGAAAAGTCAGGTCTTGCCGTTCAGAACCCAAACCAGTCAAATCCGCGCGATCAGATCAACAACATCCTGAAGCGCGCACGACAGTAAGCCGGCCCAGCATCGTTTGGGCCACTCCAGCTAACAAGCGCAGGAACGCTCCCCGACCAGGCGGTGACGAGGAGCAGCCCGCCAGTTCCTCTCATTTCCGTGGCGCAGGTACTACCCTAGGAGGCGATGATGCTCCCTCCCGAACTATTCCAGACCCCACCGCCAACATCCCCGCACCGCCCCCGCGCGCCCACCGCGAGCTTCACCTCTGGCGTGACGGCTTCTCAGTCGACGACGGCGACCTGTTCCGGTACGATGACCCGGCCAACGCACGTACACTGGAGATGATCAACACGGGCCACGCTCCATTGCATATTCTCAATGTAGAACACGGCCAGGAGGTGGATGTCGAAGTGCACGCGCACAAGGACGAGGACTACAAGAAGCCAAAGAAGAAGTACGTTCCCTTCTCGGGTAGCGGAAACCGTCTGGGCAGCCCCACCCCTGGTGCAAGCTCAGCGGCTGCTCCCATGGCACCGGCAGCTTCAAGTAGCACGGCAGCCTCGACTCCAGCCGCCTCTGCGCAACCTACCGTCGACGTCGACTCATCGGCTCCTACCCTCACGCTCCAGCTACGCCTTGGTGACGGTACACGGCTGACCTCGCGGTTCAACACTACACACACTATTGGCGACGTCTACGACTTTGTCGGCAGGGCTAGCTCGGCCAGTCAGGATCGCGAGTGGGCGCTCATGACCACGTTCCCCAGCAACGAGCTGACGGACAAGGCCCAAGTGCTGGGTGACATTCCAGAGTTCAAACGTGGTGGTGTAGTGGTACAGAAGTGGAAGTGAGGACGCACTGTACGTGGATGCACTCGAGTCCGGATTGCCGTTTATAGTGCGGGTGCGGGCAATGGAGGATGCAAACGTAGAAAGCGTGTGCTGATCACGACAATACCATCTGCAAAGGCGTTATGGCAAAATGCAGGATAGATTTGGGAACGGTAGCTGGATAGCATTCATGACAATATCGATGCTGCAGGGTGCACATAATTGCACAACCTGCCAAATGTGGTACCAGTTGTTATCTGGCATGGTGCATTGCACTGCATGAAGCTTGACGTGTGCGCGGCGCGTCGCACCGCAGTCGTGAGTTTAGCAGTAGCCTCACGATTGGCGGGACGTTTAGCATTGTGTTTGCACATCGTTAATTTGTCTGGACAGAAGGGCCGAAGAACGTTTCTCCAGTCTCCAACATTATCTTTCGATTCAGGTCGCTGCTGCAGGGTTCACTGTGGGACTGTATCGCCATGTCCGTTGGATCGGCTGAATAAGATGACGACCACAGAGTCGCTGCATTTCGCTTGGGTAATGACGCCTTCGCGCCTTCTCTTATCTCTAATTATACCGCCGAGCTGGCTGAGAATGTCGCCCGTCGAGTGCCAAATGTTATTTGCGTGCGCCCCCAGATAGCATCAGCAGTGGGGGGTGGCGTGCTGGGCAGGTTGGCTGGCATATCAGTCGTGGCTGCTAGCTGAGTCCTAGTGAATCCTTCCTGCGGATAGATGAGCAGCGGCCATGGTGCGACGGCTCTGCCGCTCGGAAGATTTTGCGAAACGCGCAAGCACCGACTTCAAGGACGACATGGCACCACTCAGACGCAACCTCTGCTCGTCGTTAGGCGATCAACAGTGTGCAACGCGTCAGCCCTCCCCCTGGAGTACCTTGCAGCACGGGGCGGGAGGCGGCGCGGGAGTTGGGGGTTAAGGCGTCTTGGTGCAAAACCGATGGGGATTCCCAGATCGACGAGGCTCTGGCCGCGTACTGCCGTTTGAGAGTGTTCGACGCTTCTTCTGCTCGTGCAATTTCGAACCCTGTCGAGTAGTCTTGTCCCGCGCTCTTGGTATCGTCATTTCCGTCTAATCATCGTCTGCGGTTTTTTCTCTTGAGGCTTGCATTCCTCGATCGATCCCGTTCGCTCTTTCTAGCATTCCACCGGCCCTTTCCCGAGTTCACGTGCGGCAGGAACGACCGACACAGATAGACGGATTGACCATCCTTCTTGCCCTCTTCACTGTAGTCGGCCCCGCCTTCCTTTCCTTTGCATCCAAGCTAGCATCGCTCGGCAGCGCCTTCACCAGAGCTTCGCCGCTATCCTTAACACCCACGGTCCTTACCACCTGCACCACTTCACCACACCTCTTCGCCATCAGTCGCTAGTCCTTCTTTCGCGCTACACCTCCGCAACCTCAAGCGATGCAGCTTTTACATTATCGGTAAATCCTACGACTACCCCAGTACCCTAGGTACCATACCGGCATAAGGTTAGTGTGCACCACTAAACGATACGAATACGAACAACATCGACATCATGTTTGTCCGATCACCCCGCAGATTTGCGATAGTTTCCTTTATAGCATTGGTTTTCATCTTCGCCGTCCTACAGCAGAGCCCATGGGCGAACGAGAAGGTGTACGAGCGCATGCCGCTCTTCAACTCGGGGAATAGACCGCCGACACAGGAGCTCCTGAATGAAAGTCCAGGCGAGGCGCAGGCGCATCTCGAGGATGCATGGCATAATGCCGTGCCCATCCCCGGCGCGATGCCTAGCCCCGTGGATGCGCAATCGCCAGCGGAGCCAGCAGAGGTTATGCTGCCGCCAATGGAAACCTCGCGCGAGCCTGAGGTCGACGCATCGAAGCCCACCAAGCCTCACCCGCCATGGGTGACGGCACCGTCGAGGACAGGCTCTTTCATCCCTCCCTACCCAACACCATCCAACTGGAAGCAGTACATGGCGAAGATGCTGGACTGGCCGCGACCGAGCTGGAGTGGTCACTGGCCGCCATTCGGCGACTACGTCGACAAGAAGTACGACCCGAACCGGTGGGAACAATTCGATTTGTAAGTGTACACACGTTGCGCGCCACAGTGGTGGTTCTAATCTTGAGCAGGGACTATCGCATCTACGAGTCTAGCCATGATAAGCTGAACGATACGATTGCCTCTGATCCGATCGCATACAAGCCGTTCCCCAAGTACAACACCCCAAAGTGGAAGCAGAAGTGGCACGGTGAATACGTGGCTTGTCTGGGTCCGCGCGGCAAACCCCTCAACGAGAGCACCGACGACGAGGTTCAGGTCTACCGCGGCATACCAGAGGACTTTCCCCCGGTATACGCTGGTGGCTATGATGTCATCGGACTCGACGACGATGTCTGCTTCGACCGATACTCACGATACGGTCCGTACGGATATGGTGATGATGAGTTCCCAGAGGAGGTCAAGAACTGGAAGGCGCCCGCTACTGTCCCCGAGTGGCCTCAGGTGAACTGGGGTGCGCTGCAGGACGATTGTCTTGAGCGGAACAAGGGGCGCTACCGGCCCAAGGCCAGATCCCCAATCGTAAAGATTCCCAGCACTGTCCTACCTGAGCCCGCGGCGGCGTCGTCGGCGTTTGCGATCCCCACAGACACGAGCCGAAGCAACTTGGAGAACCGCGATGACAGCGAGAAGAAGTACCACCACCGCACGGCCATTCTCATCCGTGCCTGGACCGGTTACAACTACGAAGAGAACGACATCACCGCCATTCGCGCCATGGTCTCCGAGCTCTCCCTCCAGTCCGGCGGTGAATACCAAGTCTACCTCTACGTCCACGTCAAGGACAGAGATGCACCCATCTTCGACAGCCAGTATGAATACGATCGCATTCTAAAAGAAAACGTACCCGAGGAACTGCGCGACATTGCTATCCTATGGTCAGAATCCATCTTCCCGAAATGGTATCCCAAGGTTATGGACTGGCAGGTATATTGGCAGCAATTCATGTGTCTACAATGGTTCAGTCTTACGCACCCCGAATTTGATTACGTCTGGAACTGGGAAACAGACGCTAGATACACTGGACACCACTATCACTTCTTCGAGAAGATCAGCGAGTTCGCGGATAAGCAACCGAGGAAGCTGCTGTGGGAGCGCAACAAGCGATACTATCTTCCGAGCGTACATGGAGACTACCAATCATTCGTCGAAAACACACACAAGGACGTCTTGAACGCATCTGCAAACTCGCTCATCCCACCACCCGTATGGGGACCACGGCCATGGAGACTTGCCATCCCTCCCCAGAAGCCACTAGGCCCTACACCACCCACAACTATGGAGGAAGACAACTTCGAGTGGGGTGTTGGTGAGCCTGCGGACTTCATCACTCTTCTTCCGATGTGGGACCCCAGGAACACGACTTGGTCTTACAAGGATAAGATCTGGAACTACCTGCCTCACATCCGACCAATCTTCACGCCAGAGGACGGCCAGGCCGATTGGTTCACTCATCCTATCTTCGAACAGATTGATCGCCGGACTTTCATCAACACAGTTGTACGATTCAGCAAGAAGATGCTGCAAGCTATGCATGAGGAGAACTTGGTTGGACGCAGTATGCAGGCCGAGATGTGGCCCTCGACAGTTGCACTCCAACACGGTTTGAAAGCCGTATACGCACCTCACCCGATCTTCAACGACCGCCACTGGCCCGCCGCCTACACCGAAGCCATCTTTGATACCGCATCGACCGTCGATGAAGAGACAGGTGAAGCATTGGAAAGCCGTCAAGGCGCATGGACCGAAGAAGCCGACTCACCCTACAACCACGACCGCGAGTTCAACTTCCAAGGCTGGAGCTGGTACTACGCATCACGCTTCCCACGTAACCTATACCGACGATGGCTCAACTGGCCCATTGTCCAACAAAACTGGGGAGAGTCGGAAAAGATCGATGGTGGACCAGGCTCTGACGGCGAGCTGGAGCAAAAGAGGATGTGCATACCGGGTATGCTACTCCATCCCGTAAAGAGGATGGCCAAGTACAAGGAAAAGCCTTGAACGAGATGAATGGAATGGAACGGAACGCAATACCAGGTCTCATACGACCAACGACCACCGCAGCGCCGTGTTGACACGAATATTATCTGAACACCAGTATTTATCTGTGTGTATAGCAGGAAGGGATTGAGCGCCATCCTATTTGCCACTTTTGCCTTCTCTACCAAAAGCATGGGCGGAGCATAAGTCATGCTTTGTACTCTTTTTTCCTTTTGACCTTCTCAACTGATACCTGTTTCCTCTCTCTCCCTCTTCGTTTCGTTTCGTTTCGTTACCAGACCTGAAGATGTCTGCTGGATACCTTTGTTGTTATTTTAGGGGATACAAGCATTTGCTGGACATCTATTTTGGCGCTCTTGGCAAACTATTTACGGCATCAGTGGTTTTGGCACTCATCGTCAGCTTGTTGATAGATCTTTCTGAATCGCCTGAGAGGCGTGGTTAGATATAGATGGCATCTTTTTTTGAAAGGTATAAGGATTACTGTTCAAGGTGTGTTTTGTTGGTCTTTGGATGTGATTTGGTCATTGCCTATGGCATGTCTACCTATAGACTGGTCCCCGCTGCCGAGTTGCTAACACGTGATCTAGTAGCCTTCCGCAAAATCATGGTAACGAGAGGAGCCCTTCGAAACCATGGTTCAATCGATGAGTCAACGAAACTTGATATAAGACGGATTCCAGCATATGCTCTTCTTTACCTTTTTTCCGCGCCAACACAACAATTTACATACCTAAATTCATACATGACACACGGCACACAACACGGCACACAACACGCTCCATCGCCTTCTTACTTCGACACCCCCCAAATGGCAAACACCACACACCAGGGCTTCTCCGCTCTCCCAGCTGAACTGCGCTTAGAGGTTTACAAGCACATCTTGGCTTCAAGCATTGCTGAAGGCCATCCACGTCGCTCGGCAGGTTTGTACCACACATGCGTCACCACCCGCAAAGAAATGGACGAGTACCTCGACAGAGTTCTGCTCATTGTCAGACTCCAAAACTACTGGCTGACGGCATCTAAATCGGGTCATCCATTACACGTTCACCTTCCTACGACCTACGAATTTACTACGCCCCTGCAAAACGTAACGTTAGAGGTACCGATAAGCAACGAAAGCAATCCTTGGGAAGACCCCATCGAGTTGGCCGATCTGCTCGAGATAACCATCCAATTATCTGATCTCCACCTATCGGCTTTCACTATCAAGTTCTACTATCCGTGTCCGGACAGAGACGTACCGTGGCAAGCCAGTGTCCGCATAGCTTGCCATTTTCTGTGTAAGGTACCTTTCATTTTCATGTCGAGAGCAGAGTATCCTTACTTCCGAAGTGTAGACCGTCTAATGATAGACTTGGGCACTCTTGGAGCACCCCCTCGTTCGATAGGAGCAATCGGAGAAGATGTTATATGCGATATTATCCTCCGCTGTCAGTTCTTTTCGAGAGGAAACAACTGGTGGCTCGGCGTTGGTGCAACTGCTCCGAATAATCGGTGGACGCTTTGCTTTGATCTCAAAGAGGGGTTACCATCACTAGTGAACGAAGCTGGGCGACGCTGGACGGTAGTTCGGCACGTTATGAGTGGATGGGATAAGGAGCACCCCGATGCTCGGTAACGCAGTACAGGTTCTGCCCCTTGTCTTCCACGAGCTAGCCTTTCATCGTCGTCTACTCAGCTTGTTCTTCATTCACTCCGCAGAGTGTTTGCTCGCTGGTTACCGAAACGTCGCAAACCGTGCTCTCCTTTTATCTTCATCAAACCGCGAAAGTCCCTGACAGCGACCGTTCAACTCACCGCAGACTAAACGTCAGCGTCATGGCCAAAGACAAGCCTTCCCGACTCCTCGCGCTTCCAGCAGAACTACGACTCCAAATCTATGGCCATCTTCTCACCGAAACCCTGGAAAATGGACGCACATCTGATGCTGGCGCTTTATACCTCGCTTCCCGCACAACCTATTCGGAAATGAAGCCACTCGTCTCAACAGTCCAAGTAGCCCTCGACCTGAAGTGCGCCTGGGACCACTCTAGACGGCTCAGAGGTGAAGTCAGAGGACGACTGTGCTTCCAAATTCCATCCTCACACACCTACATCAACCCGCTCACTGAGTTCGCCATCACCGCACCGCGCGATCGCAAACGCAGACATCCCGTTCAAAGGGCTAAGCACAACATGCTGCGTCGCACGGAAGACTTGGCGGTTTTCGGCCTCCGTCTCTTACTCTGCCCTTTCGGTTTCGGAGTGGAACGCCGATATACCAACAAACAAGTCCTCTCGTCCAGTCATCTCTTCTTCCGTACCTTCTACCAGATATGGGGAAAAGAGTTTTTGGAGAAGGCAAGGCAGAAGAGATACATTGATCGGTTAACCTTTCAGAAAGATTCCCACGTGGAGGATAGATATATTGTGAAGATTGTGCACGGGAAGCAATATGGGGGCATGTATCTTCCTGCCTCCGGGGCTTTTTATGGTCCGTGGTGTTTTCATGTCGTAGGACAGACGAAAAGGTTGTGGGGAGTAGATTTTAGGGGTGGATTGAAGCTGCCGGGGTGGAGGTCTGAGCGTATAAATTGGTTTTATCAGGAGTAGTGCTGTTTGGAGGGTTTTCGTCGACTGTGTTTATGGGTTTGAATGAGGATTGCGTACCAATTTTTCGAAGTGTATATTGCTAGATTATTACATAGTCATGGTGACGCACTGATGCGAAATAGGGGCAGCAAAGCTCGGGCATTTAACTTTGTATAATCTGTTCCATTCTCATCAATGTAGATCTGCGCAAATCATCATCCAAACGGTGTGTTCTCACTTCCTACACAATGAATCGCCTCACAACGTCATTGACTCAGCAAGAGATGAATCGGTGCTCTTAAGCCAAGTCAATTCCTTGCATTCGATGCTCCGATATATAAGAGCAGGAAGCATTAACTGTAACGATCACTTCCCCTCACCTTGGTATCTAAACAACCCACGCATTACACAGAATATGATTCTCACCCTTCCAACAGAGCTTCGAATCGAGGTCTATAGGCACCTTATTGTCGAAAGCATCACTTCTGGACGTCCACAGGATATCTCCGGCCTTTTCTTTAGTTGCCGTACTACGTACAACGAAATGGAGGACGATATAGCTAAAGTTAAACCTCTAATCCTTGCTACTCGAAAGTGGCAAGATGAGCATCCATACGGCCGTTGTTTGAAGATTGAGTCATCACCAGCCTCGATTTTGGCAGGAGGAGCTGGCGAAGGCAACTTTAGCATGCCGATTTCAGGTTCATGGCTCCAGGGTAGCCTTAACCGGGCTTCATTGAAACGATGCGTAGCAGCTCTCCAGCCGGTATTGCACCTACCATGGTCGACAATCAACCTCTCTACCCATGTGGATCATCCGCTGAACCACCTTAAAAGTACCCGCGTGATGCTTCTGGAGCTTTTCTTTAGGAACGATTACACCCCGGCGAAACTGACCTGGATTCAACGATGTGATCGCCTCACCCTCAATTTTCGAGGTGACACTGAAAAACTTGAATGGTGTACTTGGGACATTGCATTCGCAATCCATGGCCAGAGGGCTCTCAAAGCGATTTGGATACAAAAACTTGATGACAGGCGTAACGGCGACTTGTGGAAAATTGGATATGACTTTGTAGAAGGCTTGGAAACAATTAAGGGGTTGCAGTGGAAACAAGAAGTTCGGGAAGGTTTGCTGCGGCGCGAAGGTATATTTTAGGGCTCTCAGGGTTGATCATGTTCACCACGACCTGAAGATCTGAAAGCTTGAGGTCTTCCCTGTGCGGAAGTGGCATCTGCTCACGTCTCGATGTACGTAGTACGAACAAAGACTGAAGTTAACATCATGGAGGATATAAGGTTTAAAGCTACCCTTTGATCGATCGTTGAATTTATGTGCGTCTTCACAGGCGCATCCTTGTGAGATGAGGGCCGAATATAGCGCCGCGCACGCGCCATGCTGACGGTGACTCGTCATCTCCCGCAGTCTTGTATCTTCCTCATCTCATCCATCTTAGCATGCATCTTTCACATGGTCGGAGTTGGCGGGCGGTCCAGAGCGTGCGATAACTGCAAAAGTCGACGCGTCAAATGTGGTAGGTTTGCCCTGTTTACCCCTGCGCTATCCCGACGCGTGTGTTGACGTCACGAGATCTACGAAAGCCACAATGCGGAAGGTGCGTCACAGCACGACTGCAATGTGGTGGCACCCGCGGCATCACATTCGTACAATTCGATGGCCACGGCCAGTCTGCCCAGCCTAGCGATCGCGATGTCGCCGGGTGCTTAGCTGTGGAAGTCGGCACCAGGACGCCTGACACTGCTATTCGACTTCACCAGGAAATTCATCGAGCATTGTCGCCTTCTCGCGATGATGTCTTCACCGCGTTCACTCTTTCAAACTTACTGCCGGCGCAAAGCCTGTTGGTGTTCAATCCTGGGGTTATTACGATCAAGTCACTTTCTGCGCTTGCGACTTCTTACTTCGGCATCAAGCACCAGGATAGAGCTATCACGCAGTACGGATTCAAGAGGTACAGTGACGCACTTAGAGCCGTGCATTCGGCTCTTGAGGCTTCGGTGTCTCCGCCTTCCTTTGATCTGATTGAGGCGGTCATGCTTATGGGACTCATCGAGGTACATCAAACGTTCTGCAGTGCACACATTTTCTAACCGCTACTAGTTCCTCATCTCGGATCGTGTCGATGGTTGGATAAACCATGCACGTGGGCTAGAAAGGCTCTTCGAGTTGCGCGGACCTGAAGCTATGGCATCACCTCAGTGTCTTGGGATCTTGGATAGGATTCGCCCGTCTCTTATCTTTGCAGCTATTGTCTTGCACAAGCCAACGATAATGTCGGAGAATAAATGGAAATACATCCCCTGGAGCTTACACCCTGAGCACATCGACTCGCTCAAGCTCTTGTTCGACATTATTGCCGACTACCCTCAGCTCTTCATTCTGCGTGATGAGCTTTTGTCAG